GTAATTTTCCAAATATTTCACAACCACAGTTCTCAAGGAATGTGGTCAGCACAACCAATGGTGATTAGCCTCAGATGCAAGTAACATCTGGAAGACTTCATGATTCTGTCTTCTAGCTTTCACAGTTTCATTCAGACTACAGATCTGTAGTGGTTTGACACTACTTTAACAGTAAGAACTGTTTGGAAGCAACTAGGAGTTTGGTGGAGTCTCCTTCTCAACAAAGGCCATCTACTGGGAGTGATTTTGTTCTGTCACACGCTGGGCTTGTAAAGAATTGCCTTTAAAATGGGACGTGCAACTTGAGCCCAGTGGGAAGCCAGGGGGCCTCGAAGAGAAGTTCTCAAGGATTTTCCACCACAAATGGTCTTTAGATGGCTTGTGAAGTATAACAAAGTCCTTTATTAATGAACAATCAAACAGAAACTTCTCTTGTCTTCAATAAAGTTAAACAAATGCTTCCAGGCTTTTATGCAACTGGTGGCTTCCTAATCATGTCCACGAGGGACAGGCAATTGTCTTCAATAACTGTTTCTTTACATTAAAGGAAAATCCCTTTTTAACTTCTCCCAGGCTGACTGTAATCTAAGCCTTACTGATGTGGGCTCCGCTACTGGGTCGAACTGCGTCTCGAGCACCGAGTGGACCTACCAGTAAGGCCAGTAGATTCTCCAGCTGGAGTTCTTTGGTCTTCCAAACTGTTTACCCTCCGAAATTCCTCAAAGCTTTAGGGCTGCTCCCCTGGAAATCTTTGGATGCTCTTAAGACTGTTCTCCCCCGGAAAGTCCTAAGGGTTGAAGCTTTTGTACAGGAGACGCTTGTACAAGTCCTCTAAATTAGCTTTCCTTACTGAGACTAACTAAAAATGGCTCCCTTCCCTTCCCAATTGCCCTGAACAAGGGGCGGAACCAAAACTTAACGATGATGGACAGGTGACTTGCCCTACAACTGCAACCAAAGGAAGCCACCTTTCTCCAGAATCCCTGAAACCTTGGACGGCAAGCAAACATTTAATACAAAGCAAATAAAGTTGGAGCTCTTGGTACAGCCCTACTAGCACAGATTTGACTGAACGTTCCTGCTCTAATTTCAGTTAGATCGTGATGACGTCCTGACTTTCAATATGACCTTTAAGAAATTTCCCAGGGTGTGGAACCTCATTTGGTTGAAACTGTGGTGGGCTCAGCAACTGATGCTATGCAATATATTTTGTTGAACCTACATAGGGTTTTGGAGCCCTCGGTAGCATAATAATAATAATAATAATAATAATAATAATAATAATAATAATAATAAACTTTATTTCTACCCCACGACCATCTCCCCAATGGGGACTCAGAGCGGCTTACATGGGGCCAAGCCCAGACAACAAAATACAGCAATAAAATCAAAGTATATACAGCAGACAACAACAACAACATTATCAGAATGACATTAAAATAATAATAAAATAATAATAGTAATAATAAAATGAAAATAAAATATAATAAATATTCCAATAGACACAGTCACATAGAAGGTTGAAGCGCTGAGCTGCTTAGCTTGCTGACTGAAATGTCTCAGGTTCGGTTACAGGGGGAGGCGTGAGCTCCTGCTGTTAGCCCCAGCTTCTGCCAACTTAGTAGTTCAAAAACAAGTAGATCAATAGGTACCGCTTCTGTGGGAAGGTGACAGCACTCCATGCAGCCATGCTGGCCACATGATCTTGGAGGTGTCTTTGGACAACACCGACTCTTTGGCTTATTTATTTATTTGAAACATTTATATTCCACCCTTCTCATCTTGCAGAGGACTCAGGGTGGGTGGAGCACAACATATACACAGCAAACATTCAATGCTGGGACATAAAACCATAAATATATACAAACATTAAAATCACAATAGCCAGTTTAAAATCAATTATTTAAAAACCAACTCAGGACGTCAGTCTATTAGAAATGGAGATGAGCACCATAGAATCATAGAACCAAAGAGTTGGAAGAGACCTCATGGGCCATCCAGTCCAACCCCATTCTGCCAAGAAACAGGAATATTGCATTCAAAGCACCCCTGACAGATGGCCATCCAGCCTCTGCTTAAAAGCTTCCAAAGAAGGAGCCTCCACCACACTCCGGGGCAGAGAATTCCACTGCTGAACAGCTCTCACAGTCAGGAAGTTCTTCCTCATGTTCAGATGGAATCTCCTTTCTTGTAGTTTGAAGCCATTGTTTCGCGTCCTAGTCTCCAAGGAAGCAGAAAACAAGCTTGCTCCCTCCTCCCTTGGCTTCCTCTCACATATTTATACATGGCTATCAATCCTCCGCTCATCCTTTTCTTCTTCAGGCTAAACTTGCCCAGCTTTTTAAGCCTCTCCTCATAGGGCTTGTTCTCCAGACCCTTGATCATTTTAGTCGCCCTCCTCTGGACACATTCCAGCTTGTCAATATCTCTCTTGAATTGTGGTGCCCAGAACTGGACACAATATTCCAGGTGTGGTCTAACCAAGGCAGAATTGAGGGGTAGCATGACTTCCCTAGATCTAGACACTAGGCTCCTATTGATGCAGGCCAAAATCCCATTGGCTTTTTTTGTCGCCACATCACATTGTTGGCTCATGTTTAACTTGTTGTCCACGAGGACTCCAAGATCTTTTTCACACGTACTGCTCTCGAGCCAGGCATTGTCCCCCATTCTGTATCTCTGCATTTCGTTTTTTCTGCCTAAGTGGAGTATCTTGGTCTCGATGCCACAGTTTTTAAGGTTGGCTTTAAGCTCGTCTTTAAATCTCTTTTCCTGTTCACCAACATTACATTTCCCATTCCCGTAGTGAAAGTGAATGTTACAATACAGATGTTTTCCTTTTTGCTTTAAGTATGTGACAGTTGCAATAAAGCAGCCTCATGCAATAAAGTCCTGAGACTGTTGTACTTTGGACATAGTACAAAAGTGACACATTGGAAAAGACAAGGATGCTTGGAAAAATGGGAAAGCATAGAGTAGTGTTTCTCAACCTGGGGGTCGAGACCCCTGGAGGGGTCGTGCAGGGGTGTCCAAGGCGTCGCCAAAGGCTATCTGAAAACATAATACTTTCTGTTTGTCATGGGGTTCTGTGTGGGAAGTTTGGCCCAATTCCATCGTTGGTGGAGTTCAGAATGCTCTTTGATTGTAGGTGAACTATAAATCCCAGCAAGCATAACTCCCAAGCGTCAAGGTCTATTTTCCCTAAATCCAGCAGTGTTCACATTTGGGCATATTGAGTATTCGTGCCAAGCTTTGTCCAGATCCATCCTTGTTTGAGTCCACAGTGCTCTCTGGATGTAGGTGAACTACAACTCCCAAACTCAAGGTCAATGCCCACCAAACCCTTCCAGTATTTTCTGTTGGTCATGGGAGTTCTGTGTGCCAAGTTTGGTTCAATTCCATTGTTGGTGGAGTACAGAAGACTTTTTGATTGTAGGTGAACTATGAATCCTAGCAACTACAACTCCCAAATGACAAAATCAATTTTTTGAGTGATGATCACTCCTTGGGTTTAGAGGTGTCTTGTCGCCAAATTAGGCGGCACTTCGTCCAGTGGTTTTTGAGTTATGTTAATCCCACAAACAAACATTACATTTTTATAAATCCCCGCAACTAAAAAAAATCACACACCCCCCGCAACCCCACCAGTATTCAAATTTGGGAGTATCGGGTATTTGTGCCAAATGTGGTCGAGTGAATGAAAATACATCCTGCATACCAGATATTTGCATGACGATTCATAACAGTAGCAAAATTATAGTTATGAAGTAGCAACTAAAATAATTTTATGTTTGGGGGGTCACCACAACATGCGGAACTGTATTAAGGGGCTGCGGCATTAGGAAGGTTGAGAAACCCTGGCATAGAGGGAGACTGTGTTATAACCAAGTCATGACCCTGAGTTTGCAGCGCATTGAATTTATTTATTTATTTAAAAGTTTTGTATACCGGCCTTCTCACCTCTCTTGAGGGACTCAGACTGGTTTCCAACCATAATATCACATACAATCAATAAAGCATCATAATACATATTACAGTAAAACATTAAAACAGCAATTACAATCAATAACTATAATGGTCAGTCGTCACACTAAAATCGTTGTTCATCATCCTCCATCCATATCTCAGGGTGTTGGCTCACTCGTCAAATGCCTGTCTCCATAACCAAGTCTTCACCTGTTTCCTAAATGTCAGGATAGAGGGGCGGTTCTGATCTCCAGTGGGAGAGAGTTCCAGAGTCGAGGGGCCACCACCGAGAAGGCCCTGTCCCTCGTCCCCACCAGACGCGCTTGCGAGGCCGGTGGGACCGAGAGCAGGGCCTCTCCAGACGATCTTAATAATCTTGATGGTTCATAGGGGAGAATACGTTCGGAGAGGTAAACAGGGCCGGAGTCGTTTAGGGCTTTATAGGTTAACACTAGCACTTTGAATTGTGCTCGGAAGCTAATTGGCAGCCAGTGGAGCTGGTGTAACAGCGGAGTGGTGTACTCCACCCGTTAGTAGTCTGGCTGCCGAGCGTTGGACTAGCTGCAGCTTCCGGGCAGTCTTCAGAGGCAACCCCACGTAGAGAGCGTTGCAGTAGTCTAAACGGGATGTAACCAAAGCGTGGACCACCGTGGCCAAGACCATGGAGATCTTGGATGGCCATCTGTCGGGAGGGCTTGGATCTTGTCTTCCTGCATTGCAAAATGAGGTTTGACTGGATGGCCCTTGGGATCTCCTCTAATTCTACAAATCCATGGTTCTCAATCATAACATTGTTACAAGTCAAACGTGATAAGAAAATATTAAGAACAACAAAGTTGCATGACTCAGAGAACAAGATCACAGATACCCAAAAGCTCTTTGGATCAGAGAACTACTTTTTTTGTCCTTCAAGGAGATGGGAGGTTTTACAGGCAGCACAAAAGGAACTTAGCTATTTTTTAAAAACCTTCTCTACGATCACAAGAAGAGAACTAATTCATTCCCCTTTGTGACATCTCAAGGAGCGCTTGGGCGGGCGGGGAAGGATAAACCCTGGGGGTGTGTCCCTTTGGTTTTAGATAATCTAATCCCTTTGAGACTCCAAGCAAACTTGTTTTTTCAGCAAAATATTGTCTCAGGACGCCACTTCAAGCTGCAAAAGGTGGAGAGGAGCCTTGTCTCTGTGTTGGCAGCAGCTGCGGTGAGAAGAGGAGCCAAACTGGAAATCTAAGATGGAGAAGAATTTGGCAAGAAGCAAGATGCTCCTCTCAGTGTTGTTGGCTGCTATTTCCTATACCACATTTGGTAAGAACCTTCTTATTTTTGTCCCTTTTCCCTATTTCGCTCGGAGGATGATAGAAAAGAATAACGCAGGTTGACTGAATGGCACTTCATGCTATATCCAATGCACCTGTCCAGATCTTCTGTCTTTTGGATGCATCTACGCTAGGCGTGGACAAACTTTAGCTCTCCAGGTGTTTTGGACTTTGGGTTGTTGTGGTTTTTTTTGGGCTATATGGCCATGTTCTAGAGGCATTTTCTCCTGACGTTTCACCTGCATCTATGGCAAGCATCCCCAGAGGTAGTGAGATCAGTTCCAACAGACCTGGAGTTGTATGTGATGTCTGTAGACAGTCCACATCTCGCAGGGTTGGGAGAACAATACCTTAATAAACAATCACCTTGGTCTCCCTACGGATGTCCCGGTCCTCAAACACTGTCTGCTTCATTTGGGAAAAAGCTGCACTCGCAGAACTCAGCTGGTGCTCCGGGTTTAAAGGCTGTAAGGAATTGTGGGAGTTGAAGTCCAAAGCACCTGGAGGGAGGGCCACAGTTTTCCCATGCCTGCTAATGTGATGAAGTAGCAGCAAGACTTGGAGATGTGGACTGTTTCCAAGCCAGGTCTCATATTGGTGAAATTCCTAACAGCCTCAGGCCCTTTCCTTTTCCCTTTCCTTTTCTGCTTAAGAGGCTGAGGGGGAAGAGGAAGGGGCCTGAGGCTGTTAGGAATTGTGGGAGTTGAAGTCCAAAACACCTGGAGGGCCAAAGTTTGCCCATGCCTATTCTATACTGTGTAAGGAATGCAGTTCAGCAGCACTTTAATTGCTGTGGCTCCATGCTATCCTGGAATTTGTAATTTGGGAAGGCACTGGACCTGTTGGCCAAAAAAGAATGGCTAACCTTCTACAATGGCATGACAGTTAAAGGAATCTCAAACTGCATTTATTCCACAGTGTAGATGGATCCAATTTTACCTTTTGAGGAGCTAGTCCCTGAAGGGCTGTGTTTGCAAAGCAAGACTTAGAAGTGGACACATTGGATCAGATTCAGGATTAAAAGAAGGCTTGCTCACCTTTACAGACTCAAGGGATACCTACACTCTGGCATTTGCAGTTCCATAAAATATCTGCATTATATGGCATAGTGATAAGGCAATAACACAGTCCTTTTGCTTTGAAGGGAGATTGCATCTACCTGCATGAGGTTAAATTGTCAAATGGTATTTGAGTGGAATTTGTTAAGATAGCATTCAGTGGCTCTACATCAGGCATGGGCAAGCTTCGGCCCTCCAGGTGTTTTGGACTTCAACTACTGGCTGTTAGGAATTGTGGGAGTTGAAATCCAAAACACCTGGAGGGCTGAAGCTTGCCCATGCCTGGCCTTCATTGTTTAGGAGTATGGTGACAGCAGTATGCATGAAATGGATCTAGACATCTCAAGAGACCACAAGCTTGATATGAGTAAACAGTGTGATGTAGCCAAAAAAGCCAATGTGATTCTAGGTGGCATCAAGAGGACATCTAGGCAGCATCAGTGTAGAGACTGATGGAAGAAATAGCCCTGCTGTGTTCTGCTTGGTTAGTCCTCACTTGGAATAACCCGGTGCTCCTGCACGCCACACTCTCTCTTTCTTTGGAAAGAGAATGCATGTTTGGCGTGCAGGCCCAAAGTGCCTGCGCCTGCCAGTGCCTACAGCCCTGCGTAAAACAAGGCAAGAAGGATATTGAAAACCTGGAATGTGTCCAGACAAAATGGCCAAAGATCTGGAGACATGAATCGCTCCGAGGAGGGTCTTATGGAGCTGTGTAGGTTTAGCCTGGAAAAGAGAAGCTTCAGATATGAGAGCCATGTTTATTTCAAAGGACGAATTCAGAGGGTGCTCACTAATGCTTCCTCTTCATCTTGGAAAGAAGTGACGAGCAGAGTGCCACAAGCAAGGTTCCGTCCTGGGCCCGGTCCTGTTCAATATCTTTATTAATGACTTAGATGAAGGGTTAGAAGGCAGGATCATCAAGTTTGCAGACGACACCAAATTGGGAGGGAGAGCCAAGACACCAGAGGACAGAAGCAGGATTCAAAACGATTTGGACAGATTGGAGAGATGGGCCAAAACTAACAAAATGAAGTTCAACAGGGACAAATGCAAGAGACTCCACTTAGGCAGAAAAAACGAAATGCAAAGATACAGAATGGGGGACAATGCCTGTCTCAAGAGCAGTACGTGTGAAAAAGATCTTGGAGTCCTCGTGGACAGCTAGTTAGACATGAGGCAACAATATGATGTGGCCTGCATCAATAGGAGCATAGTGTCTAGATTTAGGGAAGTCATGCTACCCCTCTATTCTGCTTTGGTTAGACCTCACCTGGAATATTGTGTCCAATTCTGGGCCCCACAATTCAAGAGAGATATTGACAAGCTGGAATGTGTCCAGAGGAGGGCGACTAAAATGATCAAGGGTCGGGAGAACAGCCCTATGAGGAGCGGCTTAAGGAGCTGGGCATGTTTAGCCTGAAGAAGAGAAGGCTGAGAGGAGATATGATAGCCATGTATAAATATGTGAGAGGAAGCCACAGGGAGGAGGGAGCAAGCTTGTTTTCTGCTTCCCTGGAGACTAGGACGGAACAATGGCTTCAAACTACAAGAAAGGAGATTCCATCTGAACATGAGGAAGAACTTCCTGACTGTGAGAACCGTTCAGCAGTGGAACTCTCTGCCCCGGAGTGTGGTGGAGGCAGGCATGTTGCCGGGGGGGGGGGGGCTTGAGGGGCTTCAGCCTCCCCCCCCCCGAAATTCTCATGGTGGTTCGCGAAAATTCATATCATGAGCTGATCACCATACTCAATATATCCCATATGCATGGGGGTATTGGGGTAATGATACAAAAGGTTTGCTAGGCTAGACCCTCTTTCACTCAGACTCAGCCCCCCCCGAAACTCAGCCCCCCTGAAACCCCCCCTGAAAAAAAATTCAGCCCCTCGAGTAATGGACGGGCCGGCCCTGGGTGGAGGCTCCTTCTTTGGAAGCTTTTAAACAGAGGCTGGATGGCCATCTGTCAGGGGTGATTTGAATGCAATATTCCTGCTTCTTGGCAGAATGGGGTTGGACTGGATGGCTCATGAGGTTTCTTCCAACTCTAGGATTCTATGATTCTATGATGTCATGTTGAAGATGGAAAAGTTTCTTTTCTGCAGCTCCAGAGAGACAGACGTGAAGCAATGGATTCAAACTTCAGGAAAAGAGATTCCACTTGAATATTAGGAGGAGCTTCACCATGATGAGAGCAGTGCAGCAAAGGAATCTGCAGCTGCATGGGAATCCAGTGCAGTTTCCCTCTTTGGAGGTTTTGAAACACAGGCTGGATGGCCATCTGGCGGGAGGGCTTGGATTGTGTCTTTCATGCATTGGCAGAATGCAATTGGACTGGACAGCCCTTGGAGTCTCTTCCAACTCTATGATTTTAGGACTATCAAGAATATTCAAGCCAACTGTGTCTAGGGGAAATTTCAAAAATGTACATATTAGGAGAAATGTGTGTGAATGTTTCAGAAATAAGAAACCAGTTTGGAAATGGTATGAATCTGGATCATTCTCGATAGGGATCTTGCTGGATATGTTTATATTCTGGATAGAAACACAAGAAAGAAATCTGCCCCGAACTAATGTATATAGATGAAACGATAACATAAACACAGTGAGATGGGCTTTGCGTGGGTGTGCATTACTGCTGATAAGAGCAAAACTTTGTGAAATGAAGGATTTCCAGTCCAAAAATACTACAATATCTTTCTGGAGGACCTAGAAAATGGATAGATCATGAGAAATAGATACGGTGCATGCATGTGTCAAGCTGCAGAGGTCCTAGTAAAATTATAACTGCGAAATATCTCTCTCTCTGGGGGGAAGATGTTGCAATCCTGGCATTTATGGGAGTTTCCACCTGTGATTTTCCTCTGGCAGATTGACAATTGAGGCTGGGCAGGTGCTTTAAGAGCACAGAAAGTATTTCACAGGATCCTCATGACTATTAAGAGAACTGGACAAAGCGCACTCCTTGGCCACAACCCAAGTGAACGTATTAAGAGATGGAGAGGGTCAGGAACGTTGACCTGACCTATAGAACAGCTGCATTCAGTTCAGTGTTGAAGAAGCAGAAATGCTCACAATGGTGTGGATGTATGCAGAAAGGGACCCCCATCTAGGGCCAGTTGCATTCTATTCTTGTTGATTTATAGTTCTGGAGGGCTACAAACTGTAACAGCACCAGATCTTACCTATTTTTGGAGCTCAGCAAGGCCAGACTTTGTTGGTACTTGCATGGTGGATAGCCAACCAATATCAGCTGCCATGGACAATATTTCTGAGAAAATACCTAACTTTGAACATTTCTTGCCTCAAAAACCCAAATGAGGAAGGGTGTGTATGTGAATGCATGTGCAAAATCAGATCCTGGTCCTTTTCTCCAAATGCTGCACGCTAGAGCTTCCAGAATATAATAAAAGATGCATTTTTGGACTCTCACTCCCAGCTGTGCTTGCAGTAGGGTTGTGCATTTGGAGCAAACCTTGACCTGCTTCGTGCCCCGGCTTTCAGTGGGGTCCCCAATCTATTTTTGGAAGCCTTCCGAAATCAGGAGGGCAGATATTTGTTTTTTGCTTTTTGGTGCCAAAAGATCAATTTTCTATCGACCCATTATTGGGGGGGGGGGGTTTCCTTCTCAGGCTCCCCTTTTTATTGCATGCTTAAAGGAGGGTTCTTCTTATCTGCTGTTTCTACTCTAGAGGTGGTGCTAGGCTGCAGGCACTGGCAGATGTGGGCGCTTTAAGGGCCTTCATGACACACACACACTCTCTTTCCAAGAAGAGTGCTTGTGTAGCATACAGACCCAAAGTTCCTGGGCCTGTCAGTGCCTGCAGCCGAGCACCTCTTACTCTAGAGTACGAGGTGCGCAGTTGTAGGCACTGGCATGCGAGGCTGCTTCCACATGCCACAAATGGATTCTCCTTGGAAAGAGAGTGTGTGTGTGGCATGCAGGCCCAGTGTGCACAACTTCTGTCAGTGCCTGCAACCTAGCACCTCTTACTCTAGAGTAAGAGGCACTCGGCTACAGGCACTGGCAGGCGTGGGTGCTCTTGCACACCACACACACTCTCTCGTTGGAAAGAGAGTGCATGTGGCGCATGCAGGCCCAGAGTGCCCACTCCTTCCAGTGCCTGCAACCTAGCACCTCTTACTCTATTTATTTATTTATTTATTTATTTGATACACTTGTATACCGCTAATATCTCAGCCTAGAACGGCGACTCATTGCGGTTTACAGCAGTTAAAACAATCTACAATTTAAAAACATATATACATAACAAATTCAATAACAAATTATTGGGCCACCAATAATAATCCCATATATCTCGAGTTGAAATCGCAATCCAGAATTCGTTGTCCATGTTTCCTGTCCTTAGTCATCAATATTCGAATTGCCACAGATTAGCCGAATGCTTGTTTGAACAGCCATGTTTTGAGTCTCTTCCTAAACACCATCAGCGAAGAGGCTGATCGTACCTCTATAGGGAGGGTCCAAAGCCGAGGGGCCACCACAGAGAAGGCCCTATCTCTCGTTCCCGCCAGCCGCACTTCTGAAGCTGGAGGGATAGAGAGAAGGGACTCTCCAGAAGATCTTAGGGTCCTGGTGGGCTGATAGGCTGAGATACGTGCGGATAGATAAGTTGGGCCAGAACCGTTTAGGGCTTTAAAGGCCAATGCCAGCACTTTGAATTGAGCCCGGTAGCATATCGGCAGCCAGTGGAGCTGGTTCAGCAAGGGAGTTGTATGCTCCCTGCACCCCGCTCCTGTTAGAATCATGGCTGCCGCCCGTTGGACTAACTGGAGCTTCCGGACTGTCTTCAAAGGCAACCCCACGTAGAGAGCGTTGCAGTAATCAAGGCGGGATGAAACCAGAGCGTGGACTACCGTAGCTAAGTCAGACTTCCCAAGGTACGGTCGCAGTTGGCGCACAAGTTTTAATTGTGCGAATGCTCCCCTGGTCACCGCCGAAACCTGGGGTTCCAGGGTAAGCGATGAATCCAGGAGCACCTCCAGACTGCGAACCTGTGTCTTCAGGGGGAGTGTGACCCCATTCAACACGGGCTGTAATCCCACACTTTGAGCCGCCTTACGACTAACCAGGAGTACCTCTGTCTTGTCTGGATTCAATTTCAATTTGTTCGCCCCCATCCAGACCGTCACAGCGGCCAAGCACCGGTTCAGGACCTCGACAGCCTCCTTAGTAGCAGGTGAAAAGGAGTGACAGAGTTGGACATCATCTGCGTACAAATGACATCGCACTCCGAAACTCCGGATGATCTCGCCCAGCGGCTTCATGTAGATGTTAAACAACATGGGAGACAGTATTGAACCCTGAGGAACCCCACAAGACAAAGGTTGTGGGGTTGAACAGGAGTCTCCCAATAACACCATCTGAGACCGACCCTCGAGGAATGAGCGGAGCCACTGCAAAACAGTACCTCCAAGACCCATCCCCGCGAGGCGTCCCAGAAGGATACCGTGGTCGACGGTATCGAAGGCCGCTGAGAGGTCGAGCAGCACCAACAGGGCTTACTCTAGAGTAAGAGGCACTCCGCTACAGGCACTGGCAGGCGTGGGTGCTCTTGCACACCACACACACACTCTCCTTGGAAAGAGAGTGCATGTGGCGCATGCAGGCCCAGAGTGCCCACTCCTTCCAGTGCCTGCAGCCTAGCACCTCTTACTCTGGAGTAAGAGGCACTCAGCTACAGGCACTGGCAGGTGCAGGCACTCCTGCATGCAACACACACACTCGCCTTGAAAAGAGACTGCATGTGACGCATGCAGGTCCAGAGTGCCCACTCCTGCAGGTGCCTGCAGCCTAGCACCTCTTACTTTAGAGTAAGAGGCAGGCCTGTAGCGAGGGGGTGGTTTTAGGGGTTAAACCCCCCCCCTGAAATGTTTCAGATTTGTTTTAAAAAACCTGGTTTACTCATGAATTTTAACTGGTTAACCAAATCCCCATGCTAAGTCTATGAGATGCAAAAAATTAAGTCCCTCCAGAACTGTAAGCACTATCTCAAGCAAATATTGACAATTTATTCACACTGTCATTACTTGCAGCAATAGCCGATGTAGTGAAGCAACCAAGTTGGGGATATGTGTGTTGAATGCTCTCATTAAGGAGGCCAGACTTGCTGGAGATGGTTGACAGGGGCAGAGCTGCAGGCTATTGAAGGTTGCTCTGCCCCCTGCTGTGCTCTTTGCTTCAGTGTGAGCTAGGAGGCAGGTTTCAACCCCCCCCCCCCACTGAATTTTTCAACCCTCCCCGAAATTTTCACCACCCTCCCCCCGAAATTGTCAACCCTCCCCGAATTTTTTTTCTGGCTACGGCCCTGGTAAGAGGCACTCGGCTACAGGCTCTGACAGGTGCAGGCACTCTTACATGCCACACACACACTCGCCTTGGAAAGAGTGGGTGTGTGGCATGCAGGCCCAGAGTGTCCACTCCTGTCAGTGCCTGCAGCCTAGCACCTCTTACTCTAGAATAAGAGGCACTCAACTACAGGCACTGGCAGGTGCAAACACTCTTACATGCCACACACACACTCGCTTTGGAAAGAGAGTGGGTGTGTGGCATGCAGGCCCAGAGTGCCCACTCCTGTCAGTGCCTGCAGCCTAGCACCTCTTACTCTAGAGTAAGAGGTACTAGGCTGCAGCCACTCTTGCATGCCACACATACACTCGCCTTGGAAAGAGAGTGAGTGTGTGGCATGCAGGCCCAGAGCGTCCACATCTGCCAGTGCCTGCAGCCAAGCACCTTTGTGATGCTGAAAAGCAGGCCAGGAGCCTGCTTGCTTTCATATTGAGCTGATTTTTGTAAGGGAAGGGGCCTTCCTGTCCATGCTCCCGAAGAAATGAAAGAAACAGGAGAAATGAATTCTGCGCCCAACTCTACTAGATAAGGGTTTCTGGAAATGGGAGTCCATAAAGAAGGACCTTCCCCAAGCCCCAAAGGACTGCCAAGGAACCCCAGGTGCTGTAGGTTCTATTTCAGAGGAAGGAAATCACAAAGCCATGTCCAAGTCTCCCAAACATGAAATTCATGAGGTCACCCTAAGTAAATAAGTGACTTGAAGGTACATAATCAACCAACCAACCAATCAATAAATTTTTATTAATATCTCATTTAGGAAACTTTAGAAAAATTGGTTAAAAACCACAATTGATCTGGAATTGTAAAAGGCATGTATGCAGTATCTTGAAGAAGGTCTTAAAACAGGATTGGGAAACATTTCATTTCCAGAACTTTGACCACTTTAGTCGCCCTTCTTTGGACACCTTCCGTCTTGTCCATATTCTTCTTGTATTGTGGGGCCCAAAACTGGACACAGGATTATTCCAGGCCTGATCAAAGCAAAAGAGGGTGGGACTACATGACTTTCCTCGATTCAACACGGCCCTCCTATTAATGCAGCCTAAGGCTTAGGGCTGTTTCTGATGAGGTCTTCCCAAAGCAGAATGGAGTGGGATTATGATTGATGTATCGATGGACACTCCTTCTTTGGATGCATTTAAATAGAGGCTGGATGGTCATCTCTTGGGGGTGGTTTTCCTGAATGACCAGGGGGGTTGGACTGGATGGCCCATGTGGTCTCTTCCAACTCTATGATTCTGTGATGCAGCCTAGAATCACATTGCTTCCACATGACACTGTTGACTCATGCTCAACTTGTGGTCTACTAAGACTCCTAGGTCCTTCCTCATGTAATGTGCCTGTTCATAGGGATCCATGGTTTCCAGACCTTTGACCATTTTGGTTGCCCTTCTCCAGACACATTCCAACTTCTGGAATTATGCTTTCAGAACGGGACACAGTTATTCCAGGTGAAGTCTGGCCAAAGCAGAAGACAGTGCCACTATGACTACCCTTGTTCTAAATAATCTATGGATGAAATTCACATCCTCAGTTCCAAGAGTAAAGCTTCTCCAACAATAGCCTAAAGACTGGTTCTGCTAACGAAAGCTATTTGACTCCCCAACCTCTCTTTTTCTTACAGCCGAAGCTTTGCAGTGTTACTCATGTAAGGAGCTGACCACAGCTTCGCAATGTATGACCATTGTCAACTGCTCGGCGGAAGATACGATGTGCAAAACCACAATGTACTCCCTTGAGGATGGTAAGAAACTTGGTGTCGGCACCGTTAACTTGGGTTGTAGTTTGGGGAGGCACCAGCACTCCTTCACAAAGAAGGCCACATACCTTGTCAAACTACAATTTCCATGATTCTATAGTATTGAGTCATGGCAGTCAAACTGCATTTCTTCTATAGTGTTGATGCAACTCTTGTTTATTTGTTTTTCCTCATCAGTTGTCATTTAATCAATCTTTTCTTCCTTCTTTCCTTCCTTCTTTTCTGGTTCTTCTTTTCCTCCCCTCCCCTCCCCCTCCCCTCCCCCTTCTTTCCCTCCTTCTTCTCTGTTTCTTCTCTCCCCCCCCCCTTTCCCTTCCTTCCTTCCTTCTTCTCTGGTTCTTCTTTTTCCTCCCTTCCTTTTCCCTTCCCTTCCTTCCTTCTTTTCCTGTTCTTTTTTCCCTTCCCTTCTTCCTTCTTTTCTGTTCTTCTTTTTCCTCCCTTCTCCTTCTCCTTCTCTTCTCCTTCTCTTCTCCTTCTCCTTCTCCTCTCCTTCTCCTTCTCCTTCTCCTCCTCCTCCTTCTCCTCTCCTCCTCCTCCTCCTCCTCCCTCCTCCTCCTCCTCCTCCTCCTCCTCCCCTTCCCCTTCCCCTTCCTTCTTCTCTTTCTTCTTTTCCTCCTTCCCTTTCCCCTTCCCCTTCCCTTCCTTCCCTTTCTCCCTTCCCCTTCCCCTTCCCCTTCCCCTTCCCCTTCCCCTTCCCCTTCCCCTTCCCCTTCCCCTTCCCCTTCCTTCCTTCCTTCCTTCCTTCCTTCCTTCCTTCCTTCCTTCCTTCCTTCCTTCTTTTCTGGTTCTTTTTTTTCCTCCCTTTCCTTTCCCCTTCCCCTTCCTTCCTTCTTTTCTGGTTCTTCTTTTCCCCCCCCCCCTCCCTCCCTCCCTCCCTTCTTTTCTGGTTCTTCTTTTTCCTCCCTCTCCTTTCCCTTTCCCTTCCTTCTTTTCTGGTTCTTCTTTTTCCTCCCTTCTCCCTCCCTCCCCTCCCTTCTTTCCTCTCTTTCTTTTTCCTCCCCTCCCTTCCCCTTCCCCTCTTCCTTCCTTCCTTCCTTCCTTCCTTTCCTCCCTCCCTCCCTCCTTCCCTCCCTTCCTTCCTCCTCCCTCCCTCCTTCCCTCCCTCCCTCCTTCTTCCTTCCTTCCTTCCTTCCTTCCTTCCTTCCTTCCACTATTCCTCCCTTTCTCTTCCTCCATTCCTGGGCGATTCCACCGTCACCCGGGCTTGTTCTACAGTATGCGAACCATCCGATGTGGATGGCATTGGCACAACGCGCCCTGTGAGTTGCTGCTTCACCGACCTCTGCAATTATGATGGCGCGACCAGCATTCAAATGAGTTACATCCTGTTGGGAACCTCCATAGCATCCTTCTTCATCCTACTTGGGTACCAATTGTGAGGCAGAAGGCCAAGGATGCAGATATCGAAGTTTCCAATACCATTTTGTCAAGTTATTTCAACTCGCACTCTCTATTCCCTCCTAGAAAGTCACGTCTCTGCCTGCCATTTCCTAAAGTTTTGGACTTTTGTTTTGATCACCAGGGAAACAAACTGGTGCAAAGCTGCCCCTCCCGCTAAGAAGAACAAGGTGGCTGCCTCAGGATTCAAAGTGGGGCAAACTGTGTGTAGTAGCCTTAATTTTATTTTCGCTACCCATGATGGGAAGAAACGGTTGCAGGACTTTGTGCTTTGGGTGTCAACATAGCATATCTGGCTTTGATACTGGGCATCTTTATTTGGGAGGAGGTGCCTCAGGTGGGATTATACCTTGGGTCAACAATGCCTGAAAGAGTGCAGGAGTTATTTAGAATAATACAAACACAGAGTTGGAAGGGACACCCAAGGAATATCTAGTCCAACCTCATTCTGCCAGGCAAGAAGACACAATCACTACTTGCTCTGAAAAAAAAATACAACTTTGCTTTCTCCAATCAGAAATGGCAACATGATATTATTTTGAGATGACACTACAGCAGTGGTAGCACTGTCAATAGGTTTGAGTCCACTCTGGGTTTTAGTCCAGATTCTACAAGATGCATCCTTATGTAGGTTCAGCAAAACAAGTTGCATATCTTGGATTGCTGAACCAACCATAGGTTCAAGCCAAGGAGGTTCCATACCTTAGGTAACTCCTTAAAATTTGGACTAAAAGCCAGAGCGGATGTGCTGTCCACCTGACATTAGACATACCAGCTACCAATGAGGGACAATGTTCGTTGCTTCACTTGCACGCTGCATTTCACACCTGATTTTGAAGATTTATGCATATTTTGGAATTTGCTTGCCTATGAGCTGCATTAACCATGGCCAAGGTAGAAGATAATATTGTCAGTCTACATGTCATAGGGATGAAGGATTAATAAAGCCAGTAAAAAATTTTTAGTTGTTTCATTTCATCTTACTTTTCTCCATGGTGTCCTGCAAATAGATTATTTATCGTGTCATCAGCAACCAGACATTTGTATTACATTTTTAACAAAAACAAACAAACAAACAGACAAAACACAGAATTTGCAAGCTTGGTAGTTGATTAAATGTCCTTTGACCAGTATCTGGCCCCTTGGAGTGCCTCTGGTGTTGCTGCAAGAAGGTCCTCCATTGTGCATGTGGCAGGGCTCAGGGTGCATTGCAGCAGGTGGTCAGTGGTTTGCTCTTCTCCACACTCGCATGTCGTGGATTCCACTTTGTGGCCCCATTTCTGAAGGTTGGCTCTGCATCTCGTGGTGCCAGAGCGCAGTCTGTTCAGCGCCTTCCAAATCGCCCAGTCTTCTGTGTGCCCAGGGGGGAGTTTCTCATTTGGTATCAGCCATGGATTGAGGTTCTGGGTTTGAGCCTGCCACTTTTGGACTCTCGCTTGCTGAGATGTTCCAGCGAGAGTCTCTGTAGATCTTAGAAAACTATTTCTTGATTTAAGTCGTTGACGTGCTGGCTGATACCCAAACAGGGGATGAGCTGGAGATGTCTCTGCCTTGGTCCTTTCACTATTGGCTGCTACTTCCCGGCGGATGTCAGGTGGTGCAATACCGGCTAAGCAGTGTAATTTCTCCAGTGGTGTGGGGGGCACACACCCCGTGATAATGCGGCATGTCTCATTAAGAGCCACATCCACTGTTTTAGCGTGGTGAGATGTGTTCCACACTGGGCATGCATACTCAGCAGCAGAGTATCATAGCGCAAGGGCAGATGTCTTCACTGTGTCTGGTTGTGATCCCCAGGTTGTGCCAGTCAGCTTTCGTATGATGTTTCTAGCACCCACTTTTTGCTTGATATTTCAGGCAGTGCTTCTTGTAGGTCAGAGCACGGTCCAGAGTGACTCCCAGGTATTTGGGTGCGCTGCAATGCTCCAGTGGGATTCCTTCCCAGGTGATCCTCAGAGCTCGGGATGCTTGTCTGTTCTTAAGGTGAAAAGCACATTTCTGTGTTTTAGATGGATTAGGGATCAGCTGGTTTTCCCTGTAATAGGCAGTAAGAGCACCTAGAGCTTCGGAAAGCTTCTGTTCTACCGTCTCAAAGGTCCCTGCTTGAGCAATAATGGCACGATCATCAGCATAGATAAAGCTCTCTGTCCCTTCTGGCAGTGGCTGGTCATTTGTGTAGATGTTGAACATGGATGGGGCAAGCATGCTCCCCTGAGGCAGGCCGTTCTTCTGTTTCCGCCATCTGCTTCTCTGGCCCTGGAACTCAACAAAAAAGCTCCTGTTTTGTAGCAGGTTTCCTATGAGGCGGGTGAGGTGGTAGTCCTTTGTGATATTATACATTTTTCTCAGGAGGAGGCGGTGGTTCACAGTATCATAGGCTGCTGACGGGTCTATGAAGACAGCTCCTGTGATCTGCTGCCTTTCAAAGCCATCTTCTATGTGCTGAGTCAGGTTCAGCACTTGCAATGTGCAGCTTTTGCCTTTCCTGAAGCCAGCTTGCTGTGGGATCAGACAAGGGTCTATTTTTTCCAAATAGATACTAGGGTACCAGTTGGGAGCATGGACTAGGCTTCAGATAATTGGAGTGGTTTGTTTCTCAATCCAACCAATGATCATGTAAAGTGAGTTTAGAAAATGTAGATCTTATCCATATGAGATTATGACTGCATTTCTCCCGAACAGGATTCCAGATTGTTTACAATTATTTTTAAAAGATGCAGCTAGAGTGCAAAAGTGGAAAAAAGAGAATTAAATATCACTAGTATTAAATAAACCATATTTATTACAAACACTTAAAATACACTTAGGTTGAGAGATATATTTCAATTCCCCGTATCCAACCTGTTCCCCATATCCAATGCTTCCATCATGATAAAACACTTTTAATTTAGTGGTTTTCATATTGGGTGCATCCACACTGCACACTCTACTCCCTTCCTTATCTCCTGCCTTCCTTCCTTGCTCCCTTCCTTATTTACTTCCTCGTTTCCTTCCTTCCTCTCTCTCTTCCTTCCTTCCTCTCTCCCTCAGTCCAATCCCTTCCTCCATTTTTCCTTGCCTCCCTCCTTGCTTCCCTCCTTCCTTCTTTTGTTCCTTATCTCCCTCCCTCCCTCCCTCCTTCCTTCCTTCCTTGCTCCCTTCCTTCCTTCCTTCCTTCCTTCCTTCCTTCCTTCCCTTCCTTCCTTCTTCTTTCCTTCCTTCCTCTCTTCCCTCCTCTCTCCTTCATCCTTCCTTCCTCCTTTCTTCCTTGTATCCATCCTTGCTTCCCTCCTTCCTTCTTCTTCTTTCTCTCTTCCTTCTTCCTCCCTTCCTCCCTTCTTTTCTTCCCTCTCCCCCTCCAGCCCTCCATCTCTTCTTGCTTCTCTCCCTCCTTCCTTGGTCCTTCCTTCCTTCCTTCCTTCCTTCCTTCCTTCCTTCCCTTCTTCCTTCCTCCCTCCTTCCTTCCTTCCTTCCTTCCCTCCTCCCTCCCTCCCCCTCCCTCCTTCCTCTTCTTCATCATATTAGCTCCAGGATCTCTCCCTTCTTCCTTGCCTCCCTCCCATCTTTTCTTCCTTATCTCCCTCCCCCTTCCTTGCTCTCTTCTTTCTTTCGTTTCCTTCCTTCCCTTCCTCTCTCTTGCTCCCTTCCTCTCGCCCTCAGTCCAATCCCTTCATCTATTTCTTCCTTGCCTTCCTCCTTGCTTCCCTCCTTCCTTCTTTTCTTCCTTTTCTCCCTCCTTCCTTCCTTGCTCCCTTCTTTCTTTCATTTCCTTTCTTCCCTTCCTCTCTCTTGCTCCATCCCTCCCTCAGTCCAATCCCTTCCACCATTTCTTCCTTGTCTCCATCCTTGCTTCCATCCTTCCTTCTTTTCTTCCCTCTCTCCCTCCAGCCCTCCATCCCTTCTTGCTTCTTTCCCTCTTTCCTTGGTCCTTCCTTCCTTCCTTCCTTTCCTCCCCACACCTTCCTTTCTCCCTCCCTCCTGCTTCCTTGAGCAATAATATTAGCTCCAGGATTATCCAACTTGCAAAGATGACATAAGCTCAAAAATCACATTGATGCAAATCGAATGTAATTTTCGATTTAAAATGTTATTTTTTATATTATAATAGTACTTTAAATTAATGTTATTATTAAGTTTAACAAAGATGTTAAAAGTTTATTTTTAGATTAATGCAGTTTATTATTCCTGAACCTTGTGGTCCCTACTAACAACAACAACAACAACAAAATCAAAGTGGTCCCTGGTCAAAACAAGGTAGGGAACCACTGATTTACACTATATAATTAATGCAGTTTGATACTACCCTGAATTACCATGGAACAATACAATGGGATCCTGTGAGTTGTAGTTTGGTGAGAGGAAGCCACAGGGAGGAGGGAGCAAGCAACCTTTTTTCTGCTTCCATGGAGATTAGGACGCGGAACAATGGCTCCAAACTACAAGAAAGGAGATTCCATCTGAACATGAGGAAGAACTTCCTGACTGTGAGAGCCGTTCAGCAGTGGAACTCTCTGCCTCAGAGTGTGGTGGAGGCTCCTTCTTTGGAACCTTTTAAACAGAGGCTGGATGGCCACCTGGAATATTGTGTCCAATTCTGGGCACCACAATTCAAGAGAGATATTGACAAGCTGGAATGTGTCCAGAGGAGGGCAACTAAAATGATCAAGGGTCTGGAGAACAAGCCCTATGAGGAGCGGCTTAAGGAGCTGGGCATGTTTAGCCTGAAGAAGAGAAGGATGAGAGGAGATATGATAGCCATGTATAAATAGGTGAGAGGAAGCCACAGGGAGGAGGAAGCAAGCTTGTTTACTGCTTCCTTGCAGACTAGGACGCAATGGAACAATGGCTTCAAACTACAAGAGAGGAGATTCCATCTGAACATGAGGAAGAACTTCCTGACTGTGAGAGCCGTTCAGCAGTGGAACTCTCTGCCCCGGAGTGTGGTGGAGGCTTCTTCTTTGGAAGCTTTTAAACAGAGGCTGGATGGCCATCTGTCAGGGGTGATTTGAATGCAATATTCCTGCTTCTTGGCCAAATGGGGTTGGACTGGATGGCCCATGAGGTCTCTTCCAACTCTAGGATTCTATGATTCTATTCTGTGAGGCACTAGCACTCTTTGGCAAAACTACAGCTTCCAGAATTCCACGGCATCGATTCAGGATAGTTGAAGCAGTGTCAAACTGCATTAAATCAACAGTGCAGATGCACTCATTGTCTTTTTTTTTTAAAGGGCACACCTAAATACGTGCAAGCGGACTGGTAGGAACGCATTGTCCTTTCAAACAGTCCCCACACCTTATGGGCAAAATATTAAGCAAACAGAGACCTCACCCTGCCACTCGGTCAAGTGACTGCCTGGAATGGCATTTTAATAGGAAAATACCAGCTTTATCCCCTTTGCAATGTTCACATTATTATGACGAAAACGTGACACACCTCAAAGGGATCAACTGAAATCAACTCCAGGAGACCTGATACTGATTGGTTTTGTCAGAAGCCTCCGCCTAATACGGTGGTTCTCAACCTTCCTCATGCCGCGGCCCCTTAATACAGTTCCTCATGCTGGGGTGACCCCCCCCCCCACCAAAAAATTATTTTTGTTGCTACTTCATAATTGTAATTTCGCTACTGTTATGGATCGCAAATGTAACTATCTGATATGCAGGATGTATTTTCATTCACTGGACCAAATTTGGCACAAATCCCCAATATGTCCAAATTTGAATACTGGTGGGGTTGTGGTTTGTGTGGGCATTGACCTTGGGTTTTGGAGTTGTAGTTCACGTACATCCAGAGAGCACTGTGGACTCAAGCAATGATGGATCTGCACCAAGTTTGGTGCAAATACTCAATTTGCCCAATGTAAACACTGGTGGTGTTTGAGGAAAATAGACCTTGTCATTTGGGAGTTGTAGCTGCTGGGATTTATAGTTCACCTACAATCCAAGAGCATTTTGAACTTCACC